CTATGGCATCAGTGTTGTCATGATCCCTTCTATTGAGAAAACTCAGGCCTGGGGAAGCCAATTGCCCAGGGTTGATTAGTCAGTAAGTGGAGCAAATGAGCACTTGGATTCCAGCACCTACATTTTTAATACGGTTCCTAAAAATGCTGTAAGGTCTGAGTCATGCTAGCAAGCATATGCTACAGCCATTGCTGGGTTCACTTTCTTGCTGTTAACATACTTTAGGAACATGAAATTGTGCTTAAAATAGTGCTTTGACTTTGCCTTCTCTCTTTGTGAAGGGAAACACAGGACTTCACAACTTAATGGTAAAGGATCAACTAAAAATCAAGACAGTATAAGGACTGCTAATCAATTATTGGTAATTTCTAGCATTATGTCTCATAAATGATATTTCTTCATTCTGGGTTCTTGCAGTGAAATCAATGAATTTCAAACATGGGGAAAGAATGTGACTCTTCTGAGGCTTTTATATATTTATAACTAGTTATAAATTTTATAAAAATATTGTAGAATCTATTTTTAAGTACCTAGATGTTTACCTTATTTTAAATAGTATTAGATCATATCCAATTACTACATAGATGACACAGTACAGGTTTTTATAATTTTCAGAAATGGAATGAAGATCAAGATTTATTCTCTCAGAATATAAAAGAGATATTGGCAGTTAAATCATTTAAAAATAACAGTTAATCATATTTTTAATCATTGAAAAATTAAACAAAAATTTACAGTTGTTTGCAAGAGTACTATCTGGTGCCAAACTTATTAACTTTTCCACATTCTTAAACGAAGAGAAGTCAAGTGGTGTTTTTGAATTAAGTTTCAAAGTTCTCATGTAGTTATGAGACCAATTTTCTAAAGAAAAAGATTCTGGTTCAAATTTTAGCTGAAAAACTCTTAGTTCATCAACACATGTGGTATTTTTTGAAAGTTGGTACAATACAAATTATTTTTCATTGAGAAACACAAAAGGGTACAGAAGATCCTGGATTACCTATTACTTTTCCAATGCATTCTTGAAACTCAGGCTCAAAAGTAACATAAATGCTACATTTTCTCCTCTTCTTTCTTATGACATATTAGTGTTGAATATTGCCTGTTTTGAAATACCAATACTTAGGCTACACAGTTAACAACTTTGCTTTCCTGGTTGTTCAGATATTGTTTTGTTCTATATTGGAGGCTGGTAGCAGTGCTCTTTGAATTAAAGATCCTTAAGTTTCCTGTTAATTAATCTGAGGATATGTAAAGGCTTTAAAAAAAATCTTAGCAATGATAAACAATAAAGTTTGGAGTTCAAGATAAACACTGTCACTATTCATTTTAAAGGACAGCTTCAGATATCCATTCAAGAAGATGACCTGTAGTATATAAAACTTGTATATCATCACTGTACAGCTGTGGATTCAGCATCTGCACCAGAAACATGGCTAATCCCTTCCTCACAATATCACATCTCAGCTGTTTCATGAAACAGCAAAATGCTTGGTAGCAATAGCTAATCAGTGAACATTAATCACTAACATTATTTAATTGATATATATTCTTACAGTGTAACACTATTCAGCACCAAACAATGAAATGAACATCCTTAAGCCAATTAAATTCAAGTGACTGGAAGCAATTAAACCTATATTTCATATGGAGGTCAATTTCATTTTTTTTTCTTTCTTGCCACATTATATAGAGTAATTTGCAGAATTCATGCACCTTAGAATATCCTCTCTTATTTCATAGTTTAATTTGTTAAAACACAGGTATATAAGCATTGACTGTGTCGTTAGTATCCGATTTCAGATAATAAAAAGCTACTTTCTATGTTAAAATGACTTCTCAAAGGTGTGGATGGGATTTGAAATTAAACCTGTGGGTTTTATGTCACTCAAACAAACAAAAGGCTTTCCTTTCAAGAGTAACATGTTTGGAGATGGCTGGCAACTACGTGGAAAACATGTAAAGCTAGAAAAAAAAAATGTGACTAAAAATGTAAGCTAACTCAAGAAGTCAAATTCTTCCATAAATGTGATAATTGCGTTTTCTTTAGACAAATTACTCTCTCCATAATAACTAAGGTCTGTTACATAAATAATATAATTATTTCATTTAAGGATGAAGTGTACTTGGTTTGAGACAAGATTAGCTTTGTTTTCCTTGGATTCCCTTTGTTGGCATTATTTATAAATTTATCTAAATTTACTGATAGTTTCCTTGTCTATTCAAAAGCACATTGGAAGCATAGAAACTTGAAAAACAGATATTACAGTTTGAGGATTATATTTAATTTGGTAAAGGAAGCCTAAGACATCAAATATTTCATACACAATTTTATAATAGTCATTTTATAGAATAAGTTTATATATTTATAAGTACATTATGATCTTCTTTTTTCCTATAAGGTAACCAATGTACTTAAAGCTCAAATCATTTGCTCACATGATCCCTAAAAATAGATCAGATCTGGCCAGTATTGTGGTATAGCTGGGAAAGCTACCACCTGTAATGCTGGCATCCAATATGGGTGCCTATTTCAGTCTTAGTTGCTCTACTTCAATCCAACTCCCTGCTGATGATCTGTGGGAAAGCAACAGAAGATGACTCTTATTTGGGCGCCTGCTGTGGTAGACCTGGTTGAAACTCCTGGCTCCTGGCATTGGCCTGGCCCAGGCTAGTTGTTGCAGTCATCTGGAGAATGAAAAAACAGATGGGAAAACTTTCTCTCTCCCTGATCCCCAATAACTTAACCATAAAATAAACATATAAATCTTTTTATAAGATTTATATTAGAAAATAAGATAAATAAGGAATGTAAAAGTAGCATATCAAAAATCTCTTTATTGAAATCAATTAATATGGCCCTAATCCATACATCAGTATCAAGAGCTGTGTTAAGTCTAGGGTTTCTATATTACCTCCAAGATAAAATCTGAGTTATTTCTGTTTCAAGATACTAGTTAGACATATATTTCCTAGAAAAGAAGCCAAGGACTTTGCAATTCACAGTAAAAGCAGTGGCCAAATATCAGCATGTTGCTCATGCCACTTCCATATGCTCTGCTTCCACAAAATTTATCAGCATTGACACAAAGGACAAAAGATGGATGCCTGTGCCTATGGGTTGTATGAAAAGAGACTACAGACCGTGAGCCACTCACACAAGCCTATTGTCTAGGGTGAGGCATTCCCTAATCTCTCAGAATTGTTTACTACAAGCACTGTCAAGAAAAAACCCAGATAAAGCACAATGCTACCTTCAATCTTACACTCTAAAGAATCCACAGGGCTGCTTAGGGCCACTGCCGAATGCTTTTTGCAAAAGCAAGCATCCCTCAGCATTTTTCAGAATGAGACCCACTCACCTAAAGGACTGGAAGTATTGCCATCAGCCATAAGATTATACATAATGACTCTTAAAATAAGCTAAGGAAATCCTGTATCCCTTTCAAAAACCTCCAGTTGGTGATGATATAAGTGCTGCATGGATCCAGACATTTGCCATCACAGGAATTATGGGAAGGTGAAAAGTGCCATAATTGTATTGCTACTTCAGAAAGATCACCTAAGACATTATATGGGGAACTCACCAGAATGAACAAGTCAGAACACAAAACCAAAGGACTCTTAAAACAATCCTGTTAAGTGACTATGTGGTGACCCTAACACAAGCTTAGATACAGAAGATGAGCTCAGAGAAGAGGAATGGGCTAGAGGTGGGAGTGAGGAAATGGTAAGATTGAATTAGAATGGGCATATTAATGGTAAAAACTTCCAGATAAGAATATGGGAACAGAGTGTTCCTGGGTGGTTAAAGGCTGTGTTTCAGAGATTCATTGGGGTCAGCACAATGACTCAACAGGCTTATCTTGCATCTGCAATCATTGGCAACCCATATGGGTGCCAGTTGGTGTTCTGGCTGCTGTACTTCTGATCAAGCTCTCTGCTTGTGGCCTGGAAGAGCAGCAGAGAATGGTCCAAGCTCTTGAAACCCTGCACTCAAGTGAGAGAACCAGAAAAATTCCAGGCTCCTGGTTTCAGATTGGCTCAAGTTGCAGCCATTTGGGGAATGAACCAGCAAATGGAAGATCACTCTCTCTCGCTCGCTCGTTCGCTCTCTCTTTGTTTGTCTATGTGTGTCTACTTCTCTGGAAATCTGCCTTTCCAGTAAACACAAAGAAATTTTTTAAAAACAGAGAGATTTTTTGATTTTAGTATCTATAAACAACAGGACTTGACTCAGATGTACCAAGATGTAAAAACAGCATTCTATAGATGGTTCACAAAGTAATAATAAAATTTACATCATGCTAAATTGAAATTTGCTGGGGTTATTCACTTGCACATCAAATCTCTCTCGAACAAACATATACTACCACTACCAGCACCACTAATATTGATCACATTGTGGTAAATTCTAGGGTCCACTTTACACTTTAATTCATGGCAAAAAAAAAAAAAATCTTAATCAAAAATAAAACACAAACAAAAAGCAACATTCCTGAAACCAAATACTAATCATTATGATGTTCTTACCAGTGGGGTGTGATTCAAGCAAATGGTTTGAAACTATTTACATTGTAAATCACATTTTAAAAGTCTATTAGGAGGAAGAAAGAGTAAAATATAAGTTGTATGCTCTTACTTTAATGTTTCAAATTGAAACTACCAGTTATTAATGAGGAAAAAGTGCATAGCAGAGAAGGAAGCCAGAGTTCAGATGACCAATGGATGATAAAGAAGAAGCATAGCATCACTTTTGGTAAGCATTTCAGTTAAGGGTGTAGTACAAATCATCTCAAAGCAAGAATATTATCCATTTCTTTTGTCTGATATGGCCATTTTGCCAGAAATAATAGCTCTCAGGGCAAATACATGATATTTAGAAAGCCAGCAAAAGGTGCAAAATTGGAGTTATTTTAGTGAATTTGATTGTCTCAGAATGTGTCTGGATAATTAGCATATCTTTTATGTACAAACAGAGCCAGGTGCCATGTTCCTACCTGATTGCAGGTGTTGATGTCTATGCCCCCCTTCAAATATTCCACTACTTTGTCCAAGTTGCCGGCTCTGGCAGCACGTAGGAAGCTTGCATTGCTGTCAGACTGTGAGGGAAAGGAAAAAGTTTTAGCAAAAATTATTGATTAGAGAAAATAAAAATCCATCAAATGCTGAAAAACAATATTTACACTGTAAATCAGAATAGCTTTAGTTAGAAAACTTTCAAAAGTGAAATTAAAACATTAAACTTCACCATCTTCTAAAGAGTGTTTGAAGGACAATAAGTCAGTGGGAGATAAGATCTGCTACAATTGAGAGTGCAAAGAACCATGAAAACGAAAATCATTGTTTCTGCTTGATTCCAAGTGCTCGGCCATGTTGAAAGCTGAACTTATACCACCTGAATACAGCTCTGTCAGACATTCATGTCAATATAAGATTTGAATGGTTTTATCTAGAGGTTAATGTCTAGTCATGAACATATCGAAAACTGAAAGAAATCAAAACTGCTTATTTTACTTTTGCTTTTCAGATGAGTCTGAAGATTTGCATGGACTCCTTGGCAATCATCTGTGCTCATCACTAGGGAAAACAGAAAACTCCCAGGATATTCTGAGGAAAGGGGATAGTACCAGTTCACATGTGTAGACTGAGCTGATAAAAAGATTTGTGCTCTCAGTGATTTTGGGAAAACACGATTAAATTTAAACCAGTTGATATAACTCCAGGCCAAAATCTTCATAAAGATGCCAGCTCTGGTTAGATGCAGCTGTTTCATTTTTCCAACTTCCCAAGGTACTTTCAGAATCTGATCATGGGTGGACCAATGAAAAGTCCTGAGATTGCTCTAGACATATGATAGCCACATAGACCCCTCCCACATTTATTTAAACCTCAGCAAAAATAATCACAACCCGTTTTTGCTAGATCCCAAAACACTTTCATAAGAGTTGCAATTTTCCTTGTGATAAGAAATCTGACTAAAGAAAAAATAGGGGCAGGAAGAACAGTATCAAATGCCAATTAGGAAGTGAGATTCAGGTTTAATGATTCTTACTCAAACATGCTCCTCATGGTGTTATGCTGCCTCCTCCGTTGAAGAATGCACTTGGCAGGGATCCTGGCAAACTCCGTGGGAGCTATTTATTACCGTCTTTGTTGATGTGGAAAGATGGAAATGGAAGTATTTTCTCTGGGAGTTTCAAATATGGAGTTACTTGCATACTGCTAACATGATTTACACATGGGAAGACTGAAAACACTAGGACAAAATTACCTCACTGGCTTAGATGTCTACAAATACCAAAATGGCTTGTATGTCTAAACACACACACACACACACACACACACACACACACACACACGGATGATTTATCAGGAGTTGAAAGATACCACTGAAATCTGGACATCCAAAATGCCCAATCTGATTCTTTATAAATGCATCATGGTATGACTAATATTATCACACTGCTCTTCCTGTTCCCCACACCACTACAATTCCTCACTCATCGTGCTTCCTAAAATCTGTGCCTTTGGCACAGTGCCCTAAGTATATCTGCAATGCTGCAGTCACTGATTTGTGACTCATTTTAAAATGCCTGTTCTATGACATTACTTTGCTGTTTGCAGCAAATGTTAAATTCCAGGAGGATTTTCTGTCATCTGGTTTCTTGTCACAGTACCTCAGAGTAAAACAATACTATGCATTCTGTTAGGTCAGTATTTCAAAGAACACCATCTCATCCTATATAAAGGGTTTGGCAGTGACTTTATATTTATCTATAGTAACCATAGATAAACATAATTAAACTAGTAATAAATATGTAAATATATTATAGAAACATAATTTATATAACTATATTTATACACAAAATATATTTATATATAAATATAAAGTAACTGCCAAAAATATAAGAATATTACTCCTGTATATACAATTTTCCCAAAAAGAAATATTTATGCCATATGTTCTTCTGAAAGTTGCTGCTTTGAAGTACTTACAATTTTTTATGAAGCTAATAATCCTGGGAAACATTTATTGAGTTCTATTGTGGATTACAGATAGAGCAAAGAGAGCCATCCACTTTGTGTCATCCATACACTGGTTCTACAAAGAACAAACTACTGTCATGGTCTTTTAAGGCATAAGAAAAAGATTTAGAAGGTTTGTAAGGTCACACATTTATTTAGTGGGAGATCAAAGATTTAATCCAATTTTATGAGACTCAGAGCCATGTATTATCTGTGAATTTACTCCCAATGTGTCAAAGCAGATGCTATTATAGGTTCCTACTCTATATGTTCTTGGATAATTTCATTTGTGAGCATCAGGGTGTGCCCCTCCTCTATATATCTGATATTTGTTAAACAGGATGCCTCAACTAGAGAGGAAATTCTTGGCTGTCATCCATATGTTATGCATATCCATACATAATGCACTAGAAAAAGTTAAGAGTGAACTTGAGCTAAACAGAAACCTAATCACTTGGGAACGAGGACGGAGGTGGTCAAGTACACAATACATAAAAACCTACATGTCTAATCTGATTACATTCAGCAAAAGACCAGATGACTGTATTGTTCCCATAACGAAAAGAATTTCATAAGGAAGTACAGCACGAGAACAAACTGAACCCCAAGGGAAGAAGAGATATCTAGAGACACGACTGTGCAAGCAGGAGAAAAACACAAAAAGCCCTCCTTGAACTCTCTGCATATTGGGCATGATATCGAGAATGGCTTTTGCTGTTTCATAATCACAGGAAGTTTTCCTAACTGGTCCTCTCTCTTCCAAATCAGATTTTGAAAAAAAAAAAGTGGATGTAAGTCAAAGAGTTACAGTATATTCCTGGAATTTTAGCAAACAGTATTCTGAATGTTCTAGAAGGGCTGATTCCAATGGAAATATAATATCTGAGTCTGCCCACTAGAGACTGCTTCAGCAGTTGAGTCATGGCAGACTTTGATAAAATTAGATTCTTCTAGAACCTCTTTAAGGGTTTAGTTTTCCCAGAGTGAGAAAATGTATTAAATTGAAGTGTTATAAAATCTTTCAACAATGTGCATTTCAAGGATAGAATTTAGATGAGGTTTCAAAATTTATGCACAGATATTGACATCACTGAAGGTCAATGCATATTCCTGTCTGAAAATATGGATGGCGGGACTTTAAAAAGTCCTTGGAAAATGGATTCTTAAAATGATTAGTGCAGTGGGGAAGGGTCTTTTAAAAGCTCCTGGAAAATGACAGAAAAAATATACATGGACTTTTAAAATCTTTGTTCCAAAATAAACTAGACTTTTAATATAATTTTTTTTCCACAAAATTTGTATAGTCCTCTCATTTTCTTCTCCCCATTTCACTTAAACACAGGCGAATGCTACCCATAATGAGGTCAATCTGTGATTAAAGCTCTTGAGACGAGAGCTTTGGATAAATAGCAGTAAGTCATGTTATCTTTAATCAATAAAGAGATGAGAGAGAATTCAAAGACTCATAGAGAGAGGTGCAGCAGTTCTTACTATTCTATATTTTCCTGGGATTATGGTAAGAGTGATAAAACCAAGCATAAGTAGGAGGAAAGGCACGCTTTTCAATTTGACGATTTTCTTCACTAAACCAAGAGACAAGAGCAACTCCTCTGGGATAAAGTCTCAGACAAGCATAAAACTAACTGTTCTATTCTGCTGCTTTGTGTCCCCTGGACCCTCATATCCTAAAACCCACATAATACTTAATACCTAGAAAGACTGAGTCTAGGTAAGGAATTCAAATACTGAATCCCATGTTTTAACCACCCATGGGTGCATATAATTAACACTTATCCTCTTTATAAACCTAATGTAACATCTCATGCCAAAAAATAAGATTTCCCTCTTGAATTCTTCTTGATGCAGTGTTTTTTTAAATCTAAATATCAGAAACACAGAACTTTCTTCGCACCCAGCAGGGTGATCATGAATACATAGAGGAATTTACATTTGAACAGCCATGTGCTGTCCTGAAGAAGTGCTCCCTCAAAAATTCTGAAGCAAGCTCATGGGGTCTACGAGCTTGCTGGATTTTTTTTTTTATTCTGTGCTTACATTTCAATAGTAGTTCAAAAAGAAAAATACAAGCTTATTAAAGATCATCTAAATGACTATAAGTGATTACAACTATATATATTTTAATTTTCATATAACTGCTATATGTATTTCTGTTTATAACTTAGTGAATAACAAATAAAACCCTCTGAAACATGTTAACAAAGGTAAAGGACATACTGATTAAATGTATTTATCATACTTACATAGAAATCAAATTTAGAAACAAACAGACTTTCTGAGATGTTATATTTTTAGAATTAAACTCAATATTCATAATTTATTTTCTTTTCAACTTTTAAAACAATTTTTGAGAAAAAGGCTTGTGGCATAGCAAGAATGGCCACTTCCTGTGGTGGTGGCATCCCAAATGAGCATTGGTTCATTTCCTAGCTGTTCCACTTCTAATACCGTCCCATGTTAATAGCCTGGGAAAATCTGTGCAAGACGGTCTAAGTACTTGGATCCCTATCACCCAAATGCAAATCCTGGAAGAAGTTCCTGGCTCCTGGCTTTGGCCCAGACAAGCCTCAGACATTGGAGCCATCTCGGGAGTGAACCAGAAAGTGAAAGCTTTTTCTCTCTATCCCCTCTCAGTAATTTTTTCAAACAAATAAATAAATCTATTTATAAAAGCAAAAGAAATAATTTTTATTTGAGAGGTATAGACACAATTAGCAGAGTCCCTAGCCACTGAATTCACTTTGCAAATACATTTTAACTATGAGTACTAAACACTAGGCTAACCACCTGAACCCATGATTCAGTGGTATTTAATTTTTAAGGATTTATATTTATTTACCTGAAAGGCAAAGTGATAAATAGACTGAGAAAAAGAAGACAAAAGAAAGGATTTCCAACTGTTTCATCAAGCCTCAAAGAGCCACAACTTCTGAAACTTGGCCAGGCTGAAACCAAGAGCCCAGATGCAAGACTTGGCTGGATCCCCTATGTGGGCAGAAGGGGCTAAAGTACTGGAGCCACCAACTGTTACCTTCCCAAGCACATTAACAGAACC